TTTCTGAAATTATTCAAAAACACGATGCCAAAATTTTAGCTTAAAATAGCTTTTATGGTGCTTGAAAGCTGAATTGAGCAACAGCATAAATAGGCAAGATGCATAAAATTAAGTTACGGAAAACTTAACATATGTATCAAATTATAAAAAAATGGCAATTTTCGTCGATTTCAGGACCTCTGAAGGCACATTCTTAGTTTCCTTAGTTAACTATAGTTTCAGACATCATTTAGAAAATTCATTCTATACACACGTACAATGTATATACATAATATAATGTAGATATTTATATTTGCTGTCACGAGATCTTAAGATAATACTATGCTAAGTTGAATTCCGTGTTCGTTGGATTTCTTAAGAGGAAGCTTTTAGTCTTATCAATATTTTAACAATTCTTAAGTGAAATGGCTTAAAGTGGAACTATACTTTAATAAGACTTGAATGTCCTTTTGAGCTTTGGCTTAAATATTGTGGATATAGTCGCCTGAGCTTATCGAAAAGTATTAAAGTAGGATACTGTCTGTACCTACGTACCCGATTGCACCATTATAATAATACCTAGCTATATCTATCTATATAAATAAAAAATTATGTTCGTATGTTTGTCTTCAATGCGTTTCTAAGCCGTTGATCCGATTGTGATGAAACTCTGAGGGGTTACGCTGTATACGGTTGCGAAGGTTTCTGGCGCAAAATAAAAAATTTTTTATTGCGACGTTTGTGTTTTCTGATTTCCTAAACCATTCAAGGTTAGGGACGCACCTAAACGAAGCGAGGGTATGTCGCTAGTATAATATGAAAATGCCTTTAAAACCTGTTCAGCCGTTCTCGTCTGACACACTAACAAACAGCTTAAAAACTATTAATATTACGGCTTTTCACTTTCCAGACATACAATAGATATAAATAAATTTATGCATTATCTGTTATATTATTATTTAATATTCGCGCCAATCTTAGTTTTAGTACTATTTCCTACCTATATTTGCTTGGGAGAAATCGCCCTTTCAGCGATAAGACCTCGTCTTGTACACTTTTTTCTTGTTGTTTATTCTTTTTAATTTTGTAATGTTTTTGGAAACAAATAAAAGGTTTTATCTTCTATATATATAAAAATGAATCCCTATTTCCCTTGGTCACGCCATCACGCATGAACGGCTGGACCGATTTAACTAAATTTTTTTGTTGTGTTTGTTATTGTCAGGAGAAGGTTCTTATGAAAGAAAAAATGTAAAAAATTGCGCGGAAAATTATAAAATTTAAGAATACTTATTTAATAATACTTAACAACCATATTAAAATTTATATGGCTAACGCTGGGTAATAACTATATATTTTTTTAATATAACTATATATTGTTTTAAATATATAAATATATATATATATATATATATATATATATATATTTAAAACGTAAGTTAAGTACGAGTATATAATTTTCAATAATTAATCAATGTGTGTATAAGTTTGACCTAATATTATTTATCCTCTTTAAGTAAACTATGTCAGCAAATAAGCATAGCTCATGGATTTATTGAACAAACGTGTAATCTTATGAATGCAAATGTGAATTATGAAGAAAAGCCATAAAGACGTGGGACGATGTGGAATATAAAGACGGCAAATCTAGTTCAAAGGCGTTATATCGTGAAGGCATGCATTTATTGATACCTCCAGGGTTTTGAGATAACGAGTTATTAAGAAAGAATCTCCATTAAAAAACAAAAGTTTCGCCTGGTGTAATAATCTGAATATGGTACCTATGTGCTTACGCTAAATCGCAGGTTCGAGTCTCGCTTTGGACAAATACATACTTATATAGCTCATATCATAATCGGTGGTCTTATCTAGATGTGATGTCATGTACATACGTCATAGCATCATTTATTATTTAAGTTCTAGAAAAGTTTTAATACTTTATCGACTTTTACTGTAATACGCTATTTTAAGATATTTTTATTAGTTTTACCTATAATTAACTTAATTACTTTATAAATATAATCAAGTTTTTGAGGTCGACTTTAAATTACTTTTGATTATTATATTGTTTTAAAACTCCCTAAGTTAAATCCAGATAGGTATTACAAGAAATAAATACCATCATCTGATGGTAGATTTGAGATAGTGGAACTTTTATATGGCTACTAGTAAAACCTTCGCATTTGGGTTAGTTATATAGTTGATTAGGTGCTTTAAAATATGCCTTACATGTTATAGGCGAATACAGTAAAGAAAAAGAAATGTCTTTAGCGGGACTTTTCCTAGTGAGTAAAGTATTCAGATGATTAACATAACATATTGTTAAAATCGTATTATGCAAGCAGAGCCACGAACAAAGTATTGTAATTTGTAATATGTATTCAGCCTCTTTTACATCCCACTGCTGGGCACGGGCCTCCCTTCGCTACGAGGGGGATCAAGCCTGATAGTCCACCACGCTGGCCAAGTGCGGGTTGGCGGACTTCACGTGTCTTTCTAAAACTTCCTAGGTTCTCTCAGACATGCAGGTTTTCTCACGATGTTTTCCTTCACCGTAAGGCAAGTGGTTATCATGTTAGAAATGATTAGCACATGAAAATATCAGAGGTGGGAGACCCGGGATTTGAACCCGCTTCACTCGGTTTTCCAAGCGAGCGCGTTACCACTGGGCCACCACTGCCATGTAATAAATAGGCATAACTTATATGAAGATTTTTATTAAAATTTTCAATAATGATGGGGAACGCCCGAAAATATGAAATCGTGTTGAATACAACGACGAATTTAGCCCTGAGGCATCGCGGTGTGTAGGGCTGACGCTTTAATAAAATGTCTTCTAATTTTCATACATATGTCGATAAAAAATATCTATATAATATATTACGGTGTCATAATTTTTTAAATTTTTTTGTAAGCAACTGTATATTTAATTAGAAACTAGAAGTTTTTGTACGGATCATACAGATTTGACCTGGTTACGATAGCTCGTCACTGGATGCTGAAGTCGGGGGAAGTGAGGGGACTATGTCTTACTTCCCTCCAAATAAAAATATGTCTCATTAGAAAAAAAGGCGTAAATATGTAGAATATAAAATAATATATATATGAATGTGTTTATATATCAAATGTTAAAAATCTATTCTAATGTTTAAGCACTAAACCTAAGAAAGTTATGTTATGAAATCAATAGGCACAACTCTTGACTTAACATGGCGACGTTCCGAATATAAAACAATGGCTTTGGAAAAAATATTTTTTGCAATATCAAAATGAAATGAATAAAATAATCGGTGTCAATCGGTAAATAAAATAATCAAGTTTCCGTACTATCATAAAATATAATATATGTACTAGCAGAACTCGCGGCTTCGCTCGCGCTAAAACTACAAAAAAATCTCTAAAAAGGTTGTTTCATACAGACTTTCATCCCCTATTTTACCTCCATATAGGATGAATTTCGAAAAATGCTAAAACAAATACTCGTATTTATTTAATTTTATTAAATAAATACGAGTAATAAGTGATCATTTCACTAAATTTGGTTAAAATCGATTCAGTACTTTTGCCTGAAATGCTAACGGGCATACAGAATGTATGAATGAATGAAATAAACTTTATTCAATTAGACTTATTACAAGTGCTTTTGGACAAACAAACAGACATATAGATAAAAATTTCAATTACTATTGTGTTGGGGTCTATATTCTGTACACAATACGTGGCGGTCATTGTTTTTTTTTATATTTTATGTACAGATTTCCCTTGGTTACTATTTTATTAGGTATATTTATAGATATCTACAACTAATTTCTGCGAACATTCTCAAACTCTTTTCATAATGTGTAATAGCAGTGAGATAAACCTTCAATATATGGCACATAATACTTTATTGGCAACCCTCAAGCAACTAACGTTTTGATTTGATCAAATATATGCGGCGCCATAACTTTCGTAGGGCGGTAGAATCGCTGCTTTATTTGGCCTACGTGGGTTTTCGGACGGGAAATATCTCGTATTTCTTATAAGATCTGCGATATTTTATACGTATATGACCGTACCTTCATGAATAATCGTATTTCAGCATTTATTAATCCGTTTACTTTATTAAAACATCCGATCTATACTAATATTATAAATGTGAAAGTTTGTGAGTATGGATGTATGTTTGTTACTCTTTCACACAAAAACTACTGAATGAATTTTGATGAAACTTTACAATAATATAGCTCATAGATGATAGATCAGAATAACACAGACACTACTTTTTATCTTATTAAAATGTACGGTTTCCATGGGATAGATTTGTTTTTGTTTTTCTACAGGCCAATATGAGCAAAGCGAGGTAAGCCGCTAGTATATCTATATTTGTAAAAAAAAATTGTTTTTTTTGTATCCGCTGTTTATTATTTTTTAGACTAATACTTTTTTCTGTTTACTACTGGCACGTAATTAAGTATGCCTGCGAAATCGAAGATAAGGAAAGAACAGCCCAAATGATTTTAATGACACTGGCTGAACGACGACCTTACGGACTAATAACTTGGATGATAGCCACTTAAGTAGGCTTTTTTGACCGACGTCAAAAAAGAGGAGGTACTAACTCAATTTGCACTTTTTTTGTGTGTCTGTATTTAGCCCTTTTTAACATCCCACTGCTGGGCAAGAGCCTACCCTCAATACCACGCTGGCCAAGTGCGGAGCGAACTTCACACGTCTTTCGAAAATTCGATGTTTTCCTTCACTGTAAGACAAGTAGTAATCATGTTCGAAATGATTCGCACATGAAAATATCAGAGATGCGAGACCCGGAATTTGAACCTGCTTCACTCAATTTCCCAAACGAGCTCGTTACCATTGGGCTACCAATGGTTTATATTTATTTTGTGTGTATGTTACTCGATATCTTCGGCAATTGGGTACGGATTTTCACAATTCTTTTTTTAATGAATAGGTAATATAATCCAAATATGCGAGCGAATCCGCAGTCAATGGTTAGTTAATATAGTAAAATAATAACTTACTCGCATAGTAACCGACATCGTTGTTGACGTTGATATGGCCGGCGTCCTCCGCGGCCAACATGTGAGTGTCCCATACCGACCGGTACTCGGGGTCATGGAGTACGTCGTATAGCGCGTCCGGTTCCACGTCTTCAAATTCTGCGACCACCTGTTAAAATTTAAGTTATTTATCGTATTTATATAAATAATTGTTTTTTTTTGTGTTTATCTGTGTCTCTTTTGTGTTATATATATTTTAATCTATAAGCGAATAATTTATAAACTTAAAATTTAAAAAAACCCTACGAAAATTAATTGTTTAATGATACTTTCTTATATTTACGCGAATGTTTGACATTATTAAATAAAACTATCTTTTCGGATTATTTCGCGGATTTATTTTGATTTTTGGTTCCCGACGTTTCGAATGCTTTACAGCATCCATGGTCACGGGAGAAACTGTCTCTCAGACAGACAGACACACACACACACAGATAGACATCGACATCAAACTTATAACACCCTTCTTTTTGCGTTGGGGATTAAAAATATAATTGATTTAAGAATATGCGTAAATATTTGTTCAAAATTTTGTGTTCCAGACACATTGTTTTGGGTTTACCTAATAGAAGGCAAAGTGACGCTTTTCTTTTAAATTCATGTTATACACTAAAACCTTTCCTTAGATATTTCAATCAGTTGAGTTGAACCAAAGCTAACAAGCTTAAGCTCCTTATTCTGAACTCCACTATTCAAAATAATAATATATTATGAGAGAGAGATATGAGATCATTTTATAAGGGATAAGGCTGAACATATATATGTAGATGCAATGAAATCGCTTGTCATAAATGAGATAGCTAATACTTTATATGAAACCTGTAAAAAAGAGCAGCTCGTCGTCTTTCTTAGCAAACCTGTAATAAGAAAATGTGATAGTTTCCACACCCACTAAGTTTTACAAATATAAATGTAAAAAATGACCGCACAAAAGTGCTTAGTAATTTGAGTTCAGAATTTTGAGTTGCTTATGAGATTTTTGTTCCGGTTAGTTACGCTTTTTCAATTAACTCTGCAAATATGCGTAGAGATAAATTGAAAGACAAGTTAATATTATAAATGTGATACTTCATTTAGACTACATTCAATATTGACAGAGCTTATGTTCTGGATAAACACAAATTATTTTTTATGGTCGTTCCTACAATATGAGCGGGTAAGTAAATATAATTCACTATTTTAATGACAAAGAATTATGTAACAATTAATCCATAGGTTCTTTAATTTTCAGTATTAATAAAAAACGGATCGATTATATCATTCGAAAAATACTAAAATAATAATTTATCAAGAAAATTTTCTCTTTTGTCAAGAAATTTCGATCATCTTTCACTAAACTGATGAAGAGATTTTGATGAAACTTTACTGTTATACAATTTATATATAAGAGTATGACATCTATACTTTTAATATTATAAATGTGAAAGTTGGTGAGTATGGATGTTTCTTGCCCCTTCATGCCAGAACGGTTGAACGAATCTGGATGAAATTTGGCAATGAGATAGATTATAGTCTGGAATAACACATATGCTACTTTTTATCCCGGAAAAATGTACGGTTCCCGTGGGATAGGTTTGTTTTTGCTTTAGAGAGGCGAACCCGAGCGAAGCGAGAGTGAGCTATGTATAATTTAAAAAGATATAGTATTACCTAATTAAACTACGCGGACGGTGCCGCGGGGAACCGCTAGTAATATAAAATAATATTAACATAATATGGAAAAAAAGATCATAGACGATAATAATTTTAATAAACCTCTAATAATAATATAATCTCCGACTCCGTAGTTCATTGAAACATATTAAATGTACAAAGTTACCCCAAATCTACTACTTAGCGCGCCAACGTCTGAGGGGTTATTATCTAAATTCAGCATTTTCACATTTTCCGTGGAATATTATAACTAAGTTATATCATTTAAAGTTCTAAAAGCTTGGGTTTAACGTAATGTACGTTGCGTTTTATGTTAGAGAAGCGCTGACAACTTTTATATCATTTAAATTAACGCGAACGCCAATTTTGGCTAAATCTATGGCAGATTTTTAATTTTTAGTAAAAATATTGCTATTCTGATTAAAAAAATAACATTTGCCTCATTTAACTATGGCTTCCATAAAAAAAACTACGTTTAGCGTGTAAATTTTTGGAAGAGTTAAAATTCAGAAGATCTGTATGTTAGTAAAAAATAGCAGTGGCCTACATAAATAAAGTTAGTACACGAGCGAAGCCGTGGGCAGAAGCCAAAGCTATATATACCTTTTATACACATTACTCGATGGCTACTACAACGTAGTGATTCATTATCGATTTCTAACTTTTAAATCTATCCGAGCTGAGAGTTTCCACGCTCTTTTTTCGTTTGCTAGTTTTCATTTAAAAAACAAACATTATAACGAATTGAAATACATAAACAACTCTAAAACCATTTGGAATCGACATTTTTCTCACAAAATAAATTACAACAATAAATTCCTTCTGGCTTCTTTTAATTCTGCTATTAGGTACATGTATATTAGATATATATATATATATACATATATATAACAAAATTCTGAATCGAATCTGTACATTAAATATTTTTTTGGAAAATCTTATTGAAATAGTCATTATTATCGATACAGAAGCCGAATCTATATTTTTAGAATTTTTGTCTGCCTGATGGCTTGATGAAATTTGGTATGATGATAGTTGAATATCCGGGTCAACATATAGGATACATATATATATATATATATATATATATATACATACTGAAGTTGAAACATAACTAGGGACGAACCCAAGCGGAGCGAGGGTGAGTCGCTAGTATAATATATCCCTAATGGGAAGGTTAAAAGAGAAATATTAGAACTAGAGATATTACGTAAAGTTTAGAGTATAGGGCTATCTTATGTAAAAAGATGAATCGACTAAAATATACCATTCAATAGGTATATAGGCATATGAACAGACACCTGTGCCCGTTCACCTTTGAGAAGTTCAAAGCTGTACCTTTGAAATTCTTATCAAGTCTATAATCCAATTGCTCGTACTCGTATATTCGACGAACAGAATAACATTCTGTTGAAAATAATAATTGCCAATAAAATCCAATGAAAGATTTTTTTACTTACTTTTGTACATTTATTTACCTTTAATTTACTGAAGTAGGTTCTCGAAGTTATTTAATCAGATTTGAAAATATTTTATTCTCACCTTTTGATCTGGATAATTTCAAGGACTAAAATTAAGTTAAATGAATAATTTTGGTTTCATTCGATCCCATAATATTTTTAATATCGTTATGGATTTACAAAATTCCAATAGCTTTAATTTTCCTTCGTTACACGGAGCCATAGCTGAAACCGGCCAAACCCTTTTCCCTCCCACATAATAGCTCTTTATCGTCCCATTGCTGGGCACGGGCCGCCCCTCACTACGAGGGAGGCATTGGCCGTAGTTTAAAACGCTGCAAAATGAGAAATGTGGCTCGGTAAAATTCACACATCTTTCGAATAACAGCTAAATTTTCTTAAGCTAAGTTCTCTCAAGATTACCAGCTTTATCAAGCAACTTTAACCAACACTACATTTTGTTTTCTTCAGACTAATACTATTATATGTACGATTCAAACATTCTTTGCAGGAAACGAACCCATGACCTTAGCTAACTAAATTAAATCATTCAATTCAATAATTCAGATGTTTCATTTTCCACATAAATTTTAATAATACTACCATATTTTAAAAACGCCATAAGCTATCAATCTATCAAAATTCTTTAATAAAGTAAGGAGTGCACTTCCTCGTATACTTATAAAGAAAACAAAGAAAGTTCAATGACCTATATTCAAGAGGTCTGGAAGGGTTCCAAGCGGAGCAGATTATTGTACACTGTAAGGGTAACAGGCGAGACACTTTAATAAGTGGGCTATTGTATACAAAATATCATAATTTCATTCTATCTGATCAGAATAGCCTAAAACTTCCTCTAGCAAAATGGTAGTAGCCCCGAAAAACTAATAATTCTTCAAAATCAAAATAAAAAATACGTATTCGTAATATTATTTTTTGAGACAAATAAAATCCTCCATCACTCTGGACTTAACTCAAAAAACATGACGAAAATGTTAACTTTAAGTACGCCATGAAAGTAGTTGGTAAAAAAGTCATCTATACTAATATTATAAAGAGGTAAAGTTTGTGAGTTTGTGACGTTGTAGGGAGTGATCTCTGGATCTACTCAACCGATTTAGATAACATTTGGTAAGAAGATAGTTTGAAACCCTGGGAAGGACATAGAATACTTTTTATCTCGGAAATTATCCCTTAAGGGGGTTTAAATGGGTATGAAAGTTTGTATGGGAAATCAAACTAAAGACGAAGCGAGGGTGTGTCGCTAGTTTAATATAAAACAGTCCAAAAATTACTTATCTAAACATATAATAAAAATGTAACTGATTGCTGGCTGTATATGGAGGATATTGGAGAAATTTTTTTTTGGGGGTTGGAAGGGGGGTGGGGGGTATATTGTCACAGCAGAACCAAAAACAATGATTTTTAATTTTAGAGTTTGTACGCGCTAACCTCAGAAGTGGCTTAACCGATTTGGGTGTGGTTTTTACTTAACATTTAATGTTCATTTTATTTCAATCGTTTTTTAATTAAAAAAGTTATGTCAATTTAAGGAATCACCTAGGGTCGAACCCGAGTAAAGCGAGGGTGAGTCGCTAGTATATAATAAATCTGAGATGCTTATTGCAGGTTTTAAAATGTCAATAAATACAAAGTCCTCTCAATAAACTGCAAACTCTATACAAATTAATAAAAAAACTACACTTTGAAGAGGATAAATATTGTGTTATTATCGGCATAATCGTTTAATCTATATGACTGCGCTGGAACTCTTCCAAGTGAGCCAGACTATTAACCGTCGAGTGCGGAATGCTTGTACATTCTTATATCTATAAATGTTATGATATTACTTTATTATTATGCCGGCTAAAGACCTTACATTGCCTCGTTTATTATCATAATCACCCTACGGCACAGTGGTTAGTGATTACTTGGAGATATATGAATACCAGTGCAAATCTTGGATTAGGCAAATATTATAAACATATTAGGCAAA